CACAAGTTGGTATCTAACCAGAAACTAGATCAGAAAAAAATTATTATTGAAATTCACCGAGTAGGCCGTGGAAGCAAAATGAGAGCCAAAAATTGAAAAGTTGGCTATGGAAACCATACGTCACTTGATGACAGTTGCTACTACTGTGATATTTCGATTTCATTCGTCGGCGTTATAAAAAGCCGCCAAAAAAAATATTGGAAGAATTGGGAAAAAAACAATACTCTGTAGGTCCATAACTTGAATAGGAACATACAACTTTTTCTTGCCTGTACTATTCAGCATAACCAATCCTTTCAAATGATATAATAGAAAGTCATTTTTTGGCTTTCATTCTGCTTCCACGGCCTTCTCGGTGAATTTCAGTAATGATTTTTTTCTGATCTAGTTTCTGGTAAGATACCAACTTGTGATATGTCATTAGAAAGGGAATTGAATGCTGAATAAAGCGAAGAGAAAAAAAATTAGGGTTTCCATTTAAAATAAGAAAGTTGATGTTACTTCGGGTCAGACCGGAAGTTAACTTCGACATGTCAATACGCTCAGATTCTAGCTCTTATGTCATTATATCGACGCTTCAAATTTCACAAACCTACTGCATACAATAACTGAGATATTCCGTAGGCAATACTTCCGTAGCCACCCGGTATATGATTCATCTGAGCACACTTGTTTTCGATCCTTTTGTTGCTTATTCCGTCATGTAGTGGGGCTACAATCTGGAAACAGTTCGGCATTTAGGGCCGGATGCATATAGAAGAATTAATTATATGATCAACTGATGCCACAATAACTTATATGTTATGTTGTGGGCCGGTTGCATAAAAGCGCATCAATTATTTGATGTCACTTCAAATATTTGATGCGACGTTATAAATGGAATTCGGTTGCATGAAAGGCCCATCATGTACTTAATGGCATGGATACTTGATCATCTGATTAACTTATGACTTATTTATGGCATCAACTTAATCAGTGCTCGACAACTGATTAAAGTGACAACCAGCGAATGATTTGTGAAATAATGAGAAAAGATGGAAAAAGATGAGAAAAGATGAGAAAAGATGAGAAAAGATGAGAAAAGATGAGAAAAGATGAGAAAAGATGAGAAAAGATGAGAAAAGATGAGAAAAGATGAAAAGATAAAAAAACGACAACTTTAGGATTGATTGTGATAAAGAGAAGCTAGAGATTTCAGCAATTTTTTGAATTTCTATTTTTTTTCATTAATTTTTTTTATGATACATTTATAATTAAAAAATTTTCAATATATTTTCATTCTTATACTGGAATATGAATTGTTTGATTGAAACTTTATATTTTGACAAACGGTTAGTTTGTTCCTGGTCATGGAAGCATAGGTTGTATGTGTCAATATCATAATAGTCTTTTTTAAATGTATTTTAAATTGACATTCATCATCATATATCTGAGAATGTTCCTTTTCAATCATAATAGTCCATTGGCTACCTAGGTAAATTCGAATAATTGGTATAATTTGGGGGTAAGTTTTCTTGCTAACACAGGTACATGGGGATCATGAATAACCATGATTGCCATCTTAGAGTGGTAGCTAATAGAAATGGCGGTCAATTCAAGATGGCGGATCATGGCTTTATAAAAATGGCCATATCTCAGGAAATATTTGTCCGATTTATCATTTTCAAAATCCGAATGAAAGGATGTAATGTGTTTTGTTTTTTAAATGCTATGGCGATTTTGAGTATTCACAGTATTTATGAATCATTACATAGAGGGTGTCGGGCAAATTTCACGAATATTGAAGCTCTGAGGAAATTGAAGAAAGAAGCCACATCGTCTCAGGACTTACCTGAGCCATCGGAAACTCCCTGTTCATCTAGTCAGGTTGGGAAACGTTTGAAACGGGATAGTAGCGGAAAATATGCGACATATAACAAAACTGGATGGTAAAATATATATTTCACCAGATAATGTTACTCGCGATTTACTACTCGAATAATATGTGAAATCCAAATCAAATAAGAAATGAACCATTTGAAAAATGAAGGAGGTAATCTTATTCCTCGAGCTGCTTCTGAGATAAAATCAGATATTTAATGTATGGAAGAAACCAATGTTTGGCCTCCATTACTACACGAACTCCATAAGGATCATGTGGTGATACCTCCTTCATTGATATGCGTCCTGCAAAACCTAACTGGTGATTCATCACCTTGAGCGGCTATGCTGATATGGTCAATTTCACAAGATATAATATTTGCCACTTCCAAAGATACAGTTTGAAGTCCAATACATGTTCTTCTCGCGATGAAGGTGAAGACTCTGAGAGAAAACGTTAGAATGACTTATATTTTCGTCTTGGCCATGGATGTAGCTATTCTAAACTTAGGTGAAGGTAGATACAGTATTGTGTATGGAGAAATTCAATTCTTTCAGGGAGGGTGAAAGTAGTATTTATGGTAGCATCCCTACTATAGTAGCAAATAATGATATAGATCGCTTATAGGAACATTTAAGTGGAGCTGAATCTTCTCATCACGTCCATGACGTTATAGTCCAAAAAACTTCATCTACATGTTTACCAAAAAGATCTTGAACTAGTTATTGATGGGAAAAAGCCAAGAAATACTGCAATGCCAATTCCATGTACACGAGAATATATTGTTGGTGAAAGAAAAAATCCTCCTGCAATTACTACTGCTCAGCTTCCACAAGATTGTTTAGAACATTTCAAGCAATCTCAACGAACAAACGTATTTTAGATACTGAGCAGACAATACAAACCAGGAAATCAATATGTTAGTTCATGGAATGCATTCAACATTATGATTGGAATAATGTTGATGTTCAAGGCGACACGCTCACCTCATTAGCCGTTAATTCAAAGTTCTGCGTGGCATTAGCAAGGAAAGTAATTGTTTTTCTCCCGAGATCTACCATTGTTGTTCATTTCATGAACATTGTGTGGAAATGATTTTGAGCTTTTTGTATTTATTTTTCTAATATATTGATTTGAAAATGTTTTTCCCAGGGATCTCATCGTTTTTGAGTAGCTCTCAATAAATCAATTATTTGGAAATATTAAAAAAACATTTGTTCGTGTTTTATCAATTGATGGCTGTCAATATCAAAAATCTCTAAATGAATTCAAAAATAGAGTACAATGAGAGCTTTCACTTGAGCCCAAGAAAATTGAAATCGGATTATCAATTTCAGAGATACGATCGTTTCTATAAAGTCAACATCCGCCATTTTGTATTGGCCGCCATTTCTATTAGCTACCACTTCGAGGTGGCAATCATAGTTTTTAGAGATCCTTATACAAGGTGACATATAAAAAAGTACATTGCATAGCGCAACACAATAGAGGACACTAAAATAAGGAAAAAAGTTCCTATGAACATGGGTCCGCAAGGCCTTCGGTTAAAAGATACGGGGTGTTGAATTTTAATGGAAAAATGTATTGTACAAAGGCAACAATTTGAACATCTTCTAAAAACTTGATGTTTTGTTCTAATTAATCATATTTTTCATCATATCATCAAAATGTAATTGTTGAAGTATTTATCATTGTTTTTGCAAAAGTTACTTTGGCGGCTTTTAGATGCATTTGTACTGGAACCATTGCTTCTAGCGACTTGGACAAGGTATACCTTTCTTAAGTATAAAAGAAGGGATAACGATTTTTTTTTTCGTCGAAAATGACATACAGTGTATAGCAAAAAAGTAACGACCGATTCAATAGGGATGGAACCCTGTATGTAGCGCCCTCTATCAGTCATCACGAAACTAATATCATATTCGAATTCAGCATGATAAAAAGCCCCTGTATACCACATTTTATCCATTTCTTGCGTCTCTGGCTAAAGATATTCAAAGAAAACCCAAAAAAAAATTTAAATTCAACACCCCGTATTTTTTAACCAAAGGCCTTGCGGACTCATGTTCATAGGAACCTTTTTTCTTATTTCAGTATCATCTATTGTGTGGCACTATGCAATGTACTTTTTTCTATGTCACCCTGTATACCTATACCGGGTGACACAAGGTATCAGGCCACCCCTGTAACTTCTGCTTTCGTCATCAGATTTTTCTGAAATTCGGTACAGTTATATAAGCAATTATTTCGGATTTAATCACATTACAATCCAATATGGCGGACTTCCGGTATTTCTGGAAATGCCAGCAACTTTGTTTTTTCAAATGAAACACCCTGTATATTTTCACATATTCAAGTTCAACAGGTCGAAACAAGTGCAATCTTTATTTCAAATGTCATTTTTTCGAAAAAAATTAAATTAAAATTGTTTTTTCATTTTACCACGTGGATGAATGAGATGTGGTCAAGAATATTCACAATGAGTCACACATAACAGAAGAACATAATTTTTTCTGAAAAATTATTTTTTGTGTCACTTATCCAGGAATCAATTCAGCCACATCACTTTTTGATCACAAATTATTTTTTTTCAAATGGAACCCCTATGGGCCACCTACCCGTTTCTCTAGAACATACATTAAGGAACAAATTGAAAAATCATTTTTGTTTTTCGGTGCAGTAACAAATTGTATACATTCAAAAATCAACAACTAGTCATGAATTTCCTTGCAGTTAGAATCATTTTTCAACTAGGTAGGCTGTGAAATAAATGACATTTGACATCAAGATTGCACTTGTTATGACCTGTTGAACTTGAATATGTAAAAATATACAGGGTGTTCCATTTGAAAAAACAAAATTGCTGGCATTTCCAGAAAAACCGGAAGGCCACCATATTGGATTGTGACGTGATCAAATCCGCAATAGTTGCTTATATAACTGTACCGAATTTCAGAAAAATCCGTTGACGAATGTAAAAGTTCAGGGGTGGCCCGATAGCCTGTGTCACCCGGTATAACTGCCGTATGAAGGAAAATTAGTACCTTCTAATTTTACCAAAATTTTGTCTAGCCAATAGACTATAATAAGCGAACTGAAAATAATGAAGGTGATTATGATAATACTATCATTGTGTCAGGTGCCATCCAGCAGCCGACCATCGTGCGACCGATCGGCCAGCCGCCGCAACCGGCCGATTCGACCGCCAACATGGCGCAGGCGCAGGTCGACGGCGGCGTCCAGCACCCGCTGGTGGTGAACGCCAAGACGAAGACGGCGCTGGCGAACATGCTGAGCATCAAGCTGCAGAGCGGCGGGTCTTCGGTGGGCGGAGGGGGGCAGAGAGCGGAGGCGATGGCGGAGCCGTCGGCCGCCGGGACTTTGAGGTGAGCAACCAGAAATAGTAGATTGATTTAATTGTACTAATTAACAATGTGAAAACTTCACAAACGATAAGATTTCCACAAAATTCTCAAACACACGACATGTTTCGCTAACACAGAAGCTTCGTCAGGTGATATACTGGTACGATGAACTAAACTAACATTGGCTTGCTTATATATCCTACTTTCCCATCCTGAAGGATTAGTTACCTGTGGACAGCTGCCATAAACCTCCATTTTCGGAAATTAGGCACAATATCCTACATTAAAATACGGTGTACCGGATTAACTTGAAAGGATTGTTATGCCTTTAAATCTCAGGGGGTGAGTAGTGAGAAAAATGGAATAGAATTTTATTTACCCCTGAGTTTGGTTGATGAATTACCTAAGATTTATTAGGTGTTTTAAATCTTAAATGTATTGACAACAGAAAAAGTGTTTTTAGTGCCCAGTTTGATACCGTAGAAACTAGACACTGGTAGTTCAGCGGGACAAATGGGTGGGTACGTTAGGCTTAGTAAAATACTAAGTTTGATAGGGATGAATATGCTTTTAATCACAAGTAAATTCTGAAATGACAAATAATGTGCTCCAAATGATACTATAGTTGGCTCAAGACTTCCAAAGTAACTGAGTATCAATAGCAATATTACCTAAACAGTGTACAATTATTGCAACAATAAGAAATATAAATTGACTGACTGAAATCAACTCTTCAGATCAGTGTAAAATAATACAATCACTGCTCAAAATCAACTCTCTGAGACAGTATGATAATATATAGCTTATTAATCAACAAAATAACTCAGTAAATCAGTATCAATGAGACAATAGAAATAATAAGGCCTATTTTACCGCAGTGCACTTTTGGTTTACAGGGGTATATTTTATAGCTATACTGAGTGTCTATTAAATCAATGTCATGTATTATATGTTGTTGAATGAAATTTAAAACTGATGAATTATGATTGGTGGTAGTTTATCCCAAGTAAAATACTATCCCTGGTGGTGCATGGAACGAACTCACCAAATTATGAGCAGGTCCTGATGTGTATCATCTGGCTCTGATGTACAGGGGGATCAGGTACGTGAAGTCAGGCAGCGTCAGGTGAAGTCAGCAGAGTCAGGTGGTGTCTCCTGTATGTCGCCTTTCAGCCACAAATCAAAAGGCTCCCAAAGCAGGCGAAAACAGAGCTACCGCACCAGCGCAGACTCCAGTACAGCAGTCCCAGGGAGCTGAAGGGGGCCAAATCTCGAATGCAACGAACGGGAGAGAAGGCTTTAGCCCGATAAAAGGAACCCTAGATGGAATGACGACAATCGTGCGTTATTTTACCAACACAAGGAATGACAAGAAAATAGCAGCTGATGATTAAAAGAATATATAGTACCTTGGATGTTGTGTGGGTTCCAGAAGTGGTGATGCAGGTCGGCTCGGCCACGTGGATTTCAGCCACGAAGAATCCCTCTATAGAGGCAACAGGAATCCCATCATCCCAGCGATGATAATGGATATCCCAAATTCGAGATCTTTTCCTAATTAATCCCAACACTAAGTAATGGAAAATCGAATGTTAGACAAATTCGAAATTATTCAAGAAACAGATCTCACGGCTTACTTTTTGTGACCAGGCTGGTAGACTGCTGCAGACAAAATGGTGCCTATGAAGATCGAAGGGGCTGTCCTTGCCACATCTCACCGGAAGATCACCCTTTTTTGTGTATCTTCCCCTATACTCCCACACACATCAATCACCGGACGATATAAAATTATAGGCGGGAGATATCCCCGCGAACACCCTGTACATGGCATTTCTACCTCACCATGGTAGTGAAAACTATGTCGATAATATCAAGAGAGGTGTCGAGACCATCAGAAAAGAAGGAATATCATTGAATCACCATTTATTTCAAGTCAGAATATATTATTGCCAGTTATTATTGTTTGGATTTGAAACTTCAAATATTCAAACGCGGTCATGCGCAACTGAGGATCATTGATGACCAGAATAGTGGGGCGAAATACGCCATCATCTTCTTCCCGTGCGATGACCCTTTATCACCATGTAACATAACCTATAACGCCCATACTTACAAGGAATTAGTGCCAAATCAACAAACAGGTACATAATGGCGAAGATACAGAGTGCCAAATCATCATAACGAGATATGGTGCTGATTGTGAGTCGTTAGAGCCCGTATTCGTGATGCTAGCAAGGGAACTATGGGTCAATGTTCCATGATGACAATGTTGAAAATTCGAGAAGATGCATGCAGAGGTTCGCAAATAGTGGTCATCCGTCATTAGTGTCATTACCGTCAATAGAGACTAAACGTCATCAAGCTGACAGTGACATTTTCAATAATTACAATAATTACATAACAATGATATTTATTTGGAAATATAACGGCAACAATAATTACAAGAATGATACTCGAAATTCAAGATGAAATTTGGCGAAATACCTGTGGACTGAATCAGTCATGTGTGACAATTCCAGGAACCAACTACCTACCTACCAAAATTTGTAAACAAAACATTCTGACCAAGGGGTATGCAATAACGATAACTAGTAGGCTAAAAATCACAATATAATTCCTTATTTACAGCAAAAATTGAGTTAGAATCAATAACAACGAACAGAGAAATACCAATCGATAGCCAGTAGTAAACATCACAGATGAATTCAATTATGAACCAATGAAAAAGAGAGTGAAAAGTAGGTAAACAATACTGCATAGCTCTGTTTTCTGCAGTATTTTCGTAACGTCATGAACGAAGTGTAACAGGATTGATAGCAAATACATATTATTACTTACTAAGAAAACAAATTCAACAGTGGTGAACTATTGAGGTCTAATTGATCATTAAGTAAAATGTCAGAATTTTTTAGAGTAGTATGGAAATGAGAGAAACAAGACGGCTCCCCCCACTCTAGCACCCCCCCCCCATTCCCCCTCAAAACTGGTTTCCCAAAACTGGTTCTCAAAACTGGTTTTCAAAACTGGTTCTCAGAACTGGTTCTCAAAACTGGTTCTCAAAACTGGTTTTCAAAACTGGTTCTCAAAACTGGTTTCCCAAAGTGGTTCTCAAAACTGGTTTTCCAAACTGGATTCATATGAAAGCAGTATGACAACTACCAGATGAGAGTTCTATGACGGCACCCCCCACTATATGAAAAATTATTTCCCATGGAATTAATGAGTTTCATGACCACCTCAACAAAAAACGAAATGAGTCTAGAAAACGCAATTTCATGTATACATTATCAGAATGTTCATCACCTTTTTCAACTAGGATGTGTATCGAAAATGATATGTACTTCTCTTTGTTCTGCGCCAAAACATCTATCCTTTCTTTATTTAGAGCTAATTTCTTTATAAACAGATGACAGTCATCATTAGTTAAGTTGTGAAAGATTACACTGATGAATTTAGGAATTTTGTAATTCAAATTGCATTTTGAATGGGCGGGGGAAAGGTAATGTCCTGTCAGGTGGCAGTGGTCTCTGACCTTGACTTCATCATCCTTGATAGTCTTATTACAAATATGACAAATCGTACTAATTTTGAAATGTAGCTTTTGTGCGTCTGTGAGAGGTATCATTTCTTTGGGATTCTTCAAATGTTTGTTATATAGTTGAATAACTCGTTCTTCTAATCTGGTGACAAATACATCTGCCGCATCAATGCCCCGATATTGAACTAATTCTGATAATGAATCATCGAAGTTACACTTTATGTAAAAGCAAAATGAGTGTGGAATATGTTCAAACGTTTTGACTGTGAATGCTTCATCACTATTGGGTTCACTATGTTCGATAGGTTTCAAAATGCTTTCAAAATCTGCGTAAATAACGAAAGGAACAGTGAGCTGTTTTTCAAAATTAACAAATTTAAGAATGTTTTCTGGGAGTTCTTCCCCAAACTTGTTCGTGGTCAAGGTTTTTGTCGGTAATTTGGTATATATTAAATTACAATCATTGCTTTCATGGAATGTTAACTCTTGTTTAGTTCTAAAAAATAGAAGGCAGCCATTGCAGATAAAGCACCGCCCATTATGCTTAGATTTTTGACTCGATACTAATCGTGATAAATCTTTGATATAACAATAATGACTGTTACCGTTATCATCGGCAATCAGTAAAAGATTGACATGAGTATTTTTCTTATTCTTAGTAAAATATAATGGTCCTACTATTTCAAATATCATTTTGCCATTTTTGAAATGCGTATCAATACCAAAAACGTTAATTGAAATATTATTCATTGATTCAAATTTAGGTATTTTATCTAACTTGACAGGAAAATCTATACTTTCGAAATTAAGCAGTGTAGAATAATGCGGATATGAAGATATTCGCTGCGGGTGTCCAGTAGCTTTGAAAATGGCTGCGTTAACTGCATAGGCGAAGCACTTATTATCTTGATTTTTAATATTCACAACAGCTCTTTTATTTTCGATCTGTTTCGGCAATTTCATGAAACATGATGCTGAGAGTGGGTTGTACTTGTTAATATTCACTTCCAAAAAGGCGATGTGTTGCAAAATCCATCCTTAAAATAACATTTACACATCAAGTCATGGAAACCATCCATTCTCAAAGTGGTCCAGTATTTTTCAAAAGGAGAAGAACAATAACTCTAAGTCGGTCGACCACAAAATTTAATAAAAACCCCCCTCAATGTGTAACTAGTTTCGGCCACACGACCATCTTCAGACACAAAAAATAATATAATGAAGTACAGGGTGATTCACCATAAATGTCCCCCCCCTCTAGCTCAGTTATTTTTGAACCGATCGCAGAGTTTGAAGATTCATTTGAAATGATTTTTGATGAAGTTTTCTTCCTCGACATCAGAAAATACACGGTGCTCGGAACAAACGATCTATAGGGTACTAGTTGATTTTTTCAAATGGAACACCCTGTATTTGATCGTATTTTTAGATTTTCCCTGAAGAGCTGATTTCATCAATACAT